GGGATTTGAAATCCTCCAGGATAGAAGCAGTTTGTCAAATATTTGTAATTTAAATAAAAAGAGAAGGAAAAGTGCAAACTCTTCCAATATTGTCCAGAACCATTAAAGCTATGTGCCGGAGGTATGCTGCCAGTGTAAAAAAAAACCCACATAATTTTTATTGCTTTGGGGACAGAGATGGAAGGAACACGTGAACGGATGGTAAGAATGAAAAGCTCTGCCTGAAGCCTGATGGGAGTTTAGTTTCTTTTGATACACTCAAAACTGTGTCAACCCTTCCATGAATATTTCATTGGTTTTTTAAAAGGGAAATGATCATGATTCTAATACATCACTTTTTTAAAAAAAGTGTTTTCAAAATACTTATTTCATTCCTTCCCTACATCCTTCTGCAATAGCCCACAGAAATGCTGTGCTACATAAAAGGTTAATAAGAGTCTGAATAAATCAAGAAGTTGATATATTCTTTAGATGTCAGTGTGAAGAAATTCTGTTCTGGTTTGCAATCAATGGGATCATTGACTTATATGGGACCACAAATGGATTGTAAGTTCATATTCATTTATCATTCTGAGTGTACTTTGAGTTTTCCAGGAAAGGTGAAATCTAAAAAATCTGTAATTGCTACATATATTCAAAAAGCCAGAAGACTAGATGGCTCATGGGATAGGAGAATAAAATATTGACCATTTCCTCTTACATCAGTTGCTCAGACTCTATTGAGAATTGCCATTCAGAGAACATTTAGTGACTTGTGAGAAAGAATTTACTGTGTTTCCTAAATAAGCAGTTTTTCCATAGCATGGAAAATTCTGCATGCCAATGCACCCATTTCTACCTTGCTAACTTGCATGGCTAATGAAAATAAGACAGAAACAATGAAAGGTGCTTTTGTTTTTCTGGATGGTTGAACGTTCTCAGTGAATAAACAAAAGATATCTTGAGTGGTTAGTTCCCTTGCTATTTGAGAAATCAGGTGCAATACCACCAGTGCCTCTCCTCACGTAGAAGAAACTGCTGGGCAGATTATCACTATTTCAGATTCTTTATTTGTAACATTGTTAATCTGATTGTTTCTGAGTGCTAGACAATTTCAGAAGACAATTTTGTTTTGTACCTTTGCATGAGAGGTGATAAGTGTGTCTGACCACTTCAGGCTCTACCTTCAACAGTGTGTTGTTGGAGAAGTTTTGCAATTCCATTAGGGCATCAAGGAAGGCCAAATCTCAGACAGACCCTTAGATTAAATACTGTATACTTTCTGCATAAGGTTTTGTTGCACACTGGTAGAAGCAACTGAGTTGTCAAGTACTGTCCGAGGTACAGAACAGTCACAACATGAACATACCTCTCCATAGCCTTTGTCTCTTCTTTTCCTCTTTTCCATATTCTGGCATTTAGACTTTGACTTTTAGACATGTCCCTTAGGGACAGAGATTGTCACACCATGATATCCCTTTCATGAGGCCTGATCTTTGCTACCTCCTCTTCCTTTTAAGGTTTCTCCCCCTGCTTCTTCTTTTCTGTGGTCTTTTTGGGTGTTATGTGACTCCATCCAGACCTCCCTCCCAGCCTCTCCAGTATTTTGCATGGGACATGAGTTAATCTATGGTTTTTGTAAACAGTGCAGCTTTAAATGAGACAAAAAAATTCAGGCCTCACTTTCAAACTGGAGCCAGCATCATTTGATGGTTTAACAATTTAAAAGCTAGTGTTCATTGCAGTGTTGTTTGTAAGGACAGTAAAAACTGCCTAGCAAGCTGTCTTAAATTTTCTTACAGGTTGTGGGACTCCCCATCCCCAGAGGTGTTCAAGACCAGGTTAGATGAGCCTCTGAATAATCTGGTGTAGTGGAAAGTACCCTGCCCATGGCAGGGTGTTTGGAACTAGGTGATCTTTAAGGTCCCTTTCAACCCAAACCCTTTTGTGATTCTACTGCAGAGGAGGTGGAAATAGAAATTAAGTAGTGACACAGGAACACTTTTAGAATTACTGTCCAAGTTATCTTTGATGGTTGAATCTTCTTTCACATGGCTGATGTAAGGCAAAAATCAGTGCAGGCCTAAGCAGAAGATGCCACTTTTCAAGTTGGTCCATGTAGTCCAACACGATAAATATAGTTCCATTGAAGTTCAACTGCTGGCCCTGCACAGGACAGCCCCAAGAATCACACCATGGGCCTGAGAGCACTATCCAAACCCTTCTTGAACTCTGTCAGGCTTGGTGCTATGACCACTTCCCTGGGGAGCCTGTTCCAGTGCCCAACCACCCTCTGGATGAAAAACTTTTCCTGATATCCAGCCTAAATCTCCTCTGACACAGCTTCATGTAATTTCCTCAGGTCCTATCCCTGGTCACCAGAGAAAAGAGCTTGGTTCCTGCCTCTCTGCTTCCCCTCATGGGGAACTTGTAACTGCAGTGAGGTCTCCCCTCAGTCTCCTCCAGGCTGAACAGACCAAGTGACCTCAGCCGCTCCTCATATGACTTCCCCTCAAGGCCCTTCACCATCTTCATTACCCTACTTTGGACACACTCTAATAGCTTTGTAGGTTTCTTATATTGTGGTGCCCAAAACTGCACACAATATTCAAGGTGACGCCGCCCCAGTGCAGAGCAGAGCAGGACAATCCCCTCCCTTGACCAGCTGGTGATGCTTTGCCTGATGCCCCCCAGGACACGGTTGGCCCTCCTGGCTGCCAGGGCACTGCTGACTCATATTCAATTTGCCCTAGACCAGGACTCCCAGGTCCCCTTCTGCAGCACTGCTTTCCAGTGTCTCATTCCCCAGTCTGTACATACATCCAGGTTTGGCCCATCCCATGCAGAATCTGGCATTTGCATTTGTTAAACTTCATACAGTTGGTGATTGCCCAGCCCTCTCATTTGTCGAGATCTCTCTGCAAGGCTCTTTGCCTTTGAGGGAGAGACCTGGAGAGCTACATGTACCATCAGAAGGTCTGGCTGGTTGGAGGCCTCTGACATGGCTGGTGCAGGGACTCCAGCAGCTACAGGGGAATGAGCTCTGCAGTGTGTCAGAACCATACCTGAGGGAGTGTGCACTAGTAAGACTGGGGATAAAAAGATCTCTTTATGCCCTTCTTCACCAACTACTGGGTCTGTTCGCTGCCTCTGTTGGCTGCTCCCAGATGGCTGGAGGGGAGCCCTTCTTGCTCACCCTGCCTGTGTGAACTCCCACATTACACCCTGTTGCCACTCTGTTCACCGCGCTGCCTACGGGCCCCTTATGAGAGAGTGGGAACAGCTGACTCAGCCCATGCTGAGGGAGCCGCTCCAGGGCAAAACCCGCTGGCTCCACATGGCTCTTGGCCATCTCCTGCAGTTTCCCTGGCTCTAGAAATTCCCCCTGCTTGCAGTGATTCCCTGCTCTGCTGTGTGATGTGCCTGCACTGGAGCTGTTTGCCTTGGCGAGTGAGCATTACTTATGGGGTTTTTTATGTCAGGTTTATAATAAAGGCAGGTCAAAAAGTACAGTGTAAAACTACATAGATTTCCTATTTTTTTTGAGTATTATACTGTATTTAGCAGAAGTTTTCAAAATGGCATTTAAAAATCTCTTCCTGATATCTTCAGCAAGTTCTATAATCATGCAAAACTTCTAGAAATCTCTCCAAGTAAATGGACATACGCTCTTGCACACAGGGAACTCCAGCTTTGGGTGTTCAGCTGAGTTTTTAGCTTTTATGGTCTGTATGGTACAGCTAATCTTACATAAGAGCAAAAATTAAATGCAACTATGAGATCTCTTCCACATCATGGCAAGCTATCATCCCATTTTGTCATGGATGCATGACTATAGCATAAGGTTTAATCCTGACTGTTAATGCTAATTTCATATCTACTAGAAAAGGCAATTTACTTGTGGCTTTGAATTCCTATATTCTCAGGAAAAAAAAAGTACCTATTTATTTTCTTAGCATATTGCGCCACTAGAAAAGGAGATAATTTTAGGACAATTAGGAATTGTTTGAAAAAGGGGACTGTCAGGTTAATTACTGCTAGCTGTTTGGATGCAATAAAGTGTAAGTCATAAGGATTTCTTAACATTAAAAGAGCTTATATTAGAAAAGAAACTATCAATTACCCTGTGGATTGGCAAAGCTCACCCAGCTACACAGAGTGAATTTAAAACCTGTAATTCTTTCCAAGGTGAATATGGTGACAAAATGATTAGCTATTCTCGGTGCACATCCATCTTAATTAAAGCCTACCCCCCTGTGATGATGATGCAGGCAGTCCAGCTTCTCCAGACACTCACAGCTGGTGTCTGCATCAATCTTGCTGACAAAGACACTTCTTGAGAGCATCTGCTATAATGTCTTTTTTCTCCCGTGTGGGGCTTCTGAGCAAAATTGCTCCCGTGGGCTCTAGCAGCCCTCAGGATCAGCAGCTCAGCACTGCCCTAAACCACATAAGTATTTGCTAAGGTGTGTACATAACATGATCCAACACTGGGCTTCTTTTTCTTGCTGTCTATTAAACTAGTAATAGACATTCTGATAGTCAGGTCAACTTACAGCTTACCCTTGTGACTACAAAGCAGGTCTAGAAAGATGAGCTGCAGCTTCACACTTGACAGGTTTTCTGTGTGCCACCTGATTCCACTGATACACTTGATGAGCAGCTGACAAGTTTATAAAAATCAGACCAATAGAAATTGTGGCCATGATGCATTTATCTCAAGCAGCTGTTTATCAAGTTGTGCTTAAGTAGTGAAAGGAAGTGAACTTAAAAAAAATTATAAATTAGATAGACTCTTATGCATAGTCCCAAACATGCGGAGTTACTGTAGGTAAATAATTTTTGAAATTATGTGCCACAGTGTTTACATTAAAGTGGAAAGATATTTGCTTCTTAATTACACAGGTTTCTGCTAAATGATTTTTAGATTAAAGTGTAGAAAATGAGCATGTCATCTACACCTTTAAAATTTAGTTTAACAAAATACGGCAAAGAATTTCCTTATATTTATCATTTTTTAATGCAACACAACACTCTCCTTGAATTGGTAATTCACTTCATATAATTACAGTTACACAGAAAAATTAAGCAAATTTAAAATGCTCTTTTTAAAATCCCTTATAAAAAAAAGTCAGTATACGTAGATAGTAGTCATTTTTCCAAGTCCATCACTAGTTTAAAACCAGAAGTCCAAAACACAGCTGCCCAAGCTGCTTAGATTGAACCATTTTATTTTACATATTGTAAAGGCAATTCTGAAGGACACCACCCTCATCGGCTTCAAATAGAAAAGCATTAGATTAAGAGAAGTGGCTTTCTGAAGTCTGGGTGTGAGAAAACTGATACTGACAGTGACATATTAATGTGTCAATGATGAATAAATACAAGAACTTAATATTCAAACCACCAGCAATCTCATACATCATTCTCTCTCTCTGTCTTTTTTTTTTTTTTTAAGGATGTAAAAGATTCAAATGTCAGAACTGTAATGTCAGGACTGTTTATAATGTCAAGTGTTGCATATTGCATGCTCTTACTATACCTAGAACCTGGGATAATAATGGTAGATGATGGAGTACATTTCATTTGCAGTGGACATGGATTTGAAGGGAATTTGGAAGAAAAACATTTTCGTATTGAAGTCTTAAAAATTGTTTTGTTCAATCTGCACCAATCCTTGCACAAATTACTTTGTATAAAACTGATGCTTCTAACAATAACTAATATTAGTGTGATGCCTACAGGGCACTGTCAGCCAAGGAGAACTTAGTCTTATAATATAGTAATTTGATAAAACTTGTTACAGACTTGAGAATCAATCCCAATAGAACCAGAAAGAACTATAATTTTCCCTTTGCAGATCTTTCATGCCATTCCATCTCAGCTCATAGAATTACTCTTATTATTTATAAAGTAAAGTTGTGTTGTTTTGAGCCTGGTTTCCTAAAAAATGAGGAATATGTGATCATGCCATCTGCAAATGCCTTCCCTTCACTCCTGACAGCTACCACCTTCAGAGGCAATTGCAACCCAGTTTGAAAGGAGGTAAAATCTCAAAGAAACTCAATTGCTAAAAGCTTTCACCCAGGTATCTGGGCAGGACAAAGATACTTAAATTAGTACTCCCTGTCAGGGAAAGGCTGTCTGTTTTGGAGAAGCCAGCAGTGTCATAATCAGGGGTGAGGCCAGTGAAAACAAATTGTTTTGCAAAGGAGGACATACAAGTCAAAGGACACAAATCTCTTGGAGTGCTTGCAAAATGATTTGGGTTTTAGCTATTCTTTGAACTTCTAATTTTGCTCTAGAAAGATAAAAAATTTAATTCCAGCACTTTTATAAAAGGTTAACTTGAAAGAACAGTAACTGAACCCTGAAAGAAACATCAAAATATCACATTATTTTAATTTACGGATGTAATAAAATCAAGAGTTGTAGAAGGCGTGTTAAGGATGATACACATCTTGGGAATATTAAGCTGACTGAGGCGTTTCCCAGAGACTGTAATCCAATTTTGAGTACTGATTAGAGCAAATGTTAAATTAATACAAAGTAGGGTTTGCTCTTAATTGATCTAGATAGAACCCAGTCCTACCTAGAAGTTTGTGTCCACCCTTTAGGTAGTAGGGTTAAAAACCCCAGAATTAAAAGAAGAAATTTATTAACTCTGTGTCATCTAGAAAGGTTGCATTTTGTATTATTTTCATTATTTTATTGATTTATCTGAACAGAAGAGAATGTGCTGGTTTCAGCTTGGATAGAGGTAATTTTCTTCATAGTAGCTGGTATGAGGCTGTGTTTTGGATTTGTGACCAAAACAACATTGATAACACAAAGATGTTTTCATTACTGCTGAGAAGTGCTTGCATAGCATCAAGTCTTTTTCTGCCTCTCACCCCACCAGTGAGAAGGCTCGGGGTGCTCAAGAAGCTGGGAGGGGACACAGCTGGGACAGCTGACCCCAGCTGACCACAAGGATATCTCACACCATATGGTGTCATGCTCAGCATATACAGCTGGGGAAGAAGAAGCAAGGGAGGGAATGTTCAGAGTGATAGCATTTGTCTTCCCAAGTCACCAGTATGCTTGATGGATCCATGCTTTCCTGGAGCTGGCTAAACACTTGCCTGCCCATGGGGAGAGGTGAATTAAGTCCTTGTTCTGCTTTGCTTGAGTGCACAGCTTTTTCTTCACCTTTTAAATTGTCTTTATCTCAGCCCACAAGTTTTTGCACTTTCACTCTTCCCTGTCCCACTGGAGTGCAGTGAGCCAGCAGCTGGGTGGTGCTTAGTTGTTGTCTGAGGTTTAATGACAACATGCTCATAGAGACCAAGTAAGTTACTTTTACTGCATCAAATACCTTTTCTATTATAGGCAGCCAAAGCTGGTTTTTTTCCGTGTGGCTGCCACAGTCATGAGCAAGGAAAAGAATAAAGAAAAAAAAAGGAGATATATGAAGAGTGAAAATTGTTACTCCTGGAGCAGGCTGCTCGCTATTGCCCGAGCAGGATTTAACAACATCAAGCTCTCTGAATATATCAAATATTATCTTCCTTGAAATGATGACACAAAGGCCACATCTGTCACTGGATCCTTCAGACGCTGTTCCTCCTGCCGTTCTGTATGACTTTGAGTACGTTGGAAAGGTCAAAACTTTTCGAAATCAATTCCATTAGGTCCTCATCACTTTCCACACCGTTGATAAACTCTTCCAAAGTCAGTTCCCCTAAAAGAAAGAAAATACTCCTTAGGAACTGAGAAACCCAGCAATCATTCTCCATCCAACACAAGGCCATTCATGCCAGACTGAATCCCTTAGGAAGGTTTCTGTTCTCTGCTGATAGGCAAATGCAGGTAGAGCATTTGGTAATGTTTTCCTACTTTGCATCAGTCAGATCCTAGAACTCAGACTCACTTTTTTTTAATGTTAAAACAGGTCAAACACAACTTTCACTGAAGTCTGAGACAATTGTAAGTGCTCATAAATGTGTGTAGGGCACTAATGAAGCCTGTATTGAGGCTGAATTTAGATGTATGGACCAATTCTCAGTGAGCTAACTGGAATTTATCCTATAGCTGGTTTTAACAGAGATTAGAGTGTGATTTGCTGAGGATTACTAGGCATAGTACCTGTGTTGACTACTAGGATTATTTAGAGCCATGATCGGATATACTAAAAAAAACTGGCTAAGTGGTTTGATTGGATAAATTCTTCCAGGGAACTGAAATGGTCATTTAGAGTGTGATTTTTTGGGCTCATGTCAAAATCAGCTAATAACTTAGAAGGTGCAAGACAATTTCAAAAATCTCTTCTACTGAAAAATCAGAATACTGTTTTACTTTGAGAAGGAAAAACAAAGCTTGGTTTAATAAGAAAAGCTTGACTCTTTCCTCTGAGAATGATTTAAAGTTTCTTGTGAAATTCACAACAATGAATGATTTCTCACTAAAATAAGAAATAACAAAAGGCCAGCAAAGGAAAATAGCTGGATGAGTTAGGGTCCCAGGGTGCAGGGGAGCAGGAATTCAGGTCATGTACATGTCTGGTGAACGCTTAGCTGGCTGACTTTTGGCTCTTTTCAGGTTTTAGTACTACCTGTAGGGATTTTTTTTTGGTGGTTTTGTTTCTGTCCATGGCAGCCTTGGAAACTTCACTTGATGTGAAAAAGGAAAACAATCAGCATTTGAAAAATGTGAAAACCACTTTCTACCCATAGTCAATAAAGGCTGCTTTCTGTTTAGTCACATGTGTCCTTGCTACACCAGTGACAGGCTCATATAAAGAGGAAGGACATAATTTGACAGAAGTCCTGTCTCTTAGGCTTCAGTGAAAGTACTAAGACCCTGTCCAGGGGCTGGCATGCAGTGCCCTGAGATTGTTTGTGCTGCTTCTTTCAATAGCAGTCCCCTTACATAATCATTCCAGAAGCAGAGACAAAACAAGCCATGTCTGTATGCTTGTATGCATCGCCTCCTTTGCCACTCATCCTCTCACTTCTGCTGAACTCTCCTCCTATCCCAGGCATTCCTTTCCGTTCCCCTCCCCTTCCCTCTGTGTTGCCTCTCACTGAGGTCTTTGTGTGGATGGGGTTCCTGGACTCATCACATGGACATGTGGCATCATTTTCATGTTTATTCAGGTCAACTGGTCTTGAATTCCTTCCTTCTGTTCCCAGGCTGCACATTTCCAAGCACCAACAGCAGCGCACAAGAGCACAAACCGCACTGCAGTTGCCAGTGAGATGTGGCTACACCGGCAGGCCCAGGCTCGCTGCTGCCGTGATGGGCCTCAGATTTCCTCGAGCTAATGAAAATAAATTGCAAAACCAACAGGAGGTCTGTTTTAAGAATTGTTCTTTACAACCATGGGATTATTTATTGTTGTTTCATGTAAGGAAGGACACTGCAACTTATTTGTCTGTTTGCACGCTTCTTTAATAAGAAGCTACAGAGAGGCAGCATAGTTGAAGCTAAACTTGGTAAAACTCGGCCCGTTCCTCAGGTGGAGCTAGTCCTGTTGCTTTGCAGCAATTAAAACACTAACAAACTATGGAAAACAGTTTGAAAGGGAATTATTATGAAGATAATTCTAAATAAATCATGTTCTGGCTTTTCCTTGCTAAAATGTATGACACAAAATTATTTTTCCAGCTGATGTTTTAGCTCAGATACAATTGTTACTTGCAGTAAATATCTGGTCAAATTGGGGAATAATCATAGAATTTGGGTTTAGATGCTAGATCCTGACTGTGTTATTTGGAGTCCTTTTGTCTTCACCCAAAGAATGGACTAAGAAGATGGGGGAAAAAAATTGTCTGCTAGTGCATCCTCCATATGTACCACAAGATCACTGTTTATACTCTGTATATTGTAAACAGCTTTTTAAAAAAGTAACGTTAATACACCAAATAAGACCATAGAAATACCCCCCCAAAATGCCCAAAATTCCTGTCTGTGACTTCACTTTGTTCTGTAATGCTTTCCTAATATTCCTAGTTTGTCAGTGACTGCAGCAATTGATGTAAAATGTAATTGTCAGTGGAAGGAGGATCTTCATGATTAGAAGTTTGAGGGGAGATATTCACATGTGAGAAGTTTTCTGTTAGAAACAACTCTGAAGCAGTGAACTGAAGTCTTAGTTTACAAATGCAAGTCCAATTGGCTTAATCTAGCTATCTTGAGGAAAAAAACAGTAGCATGTGTTTTAGCATGTGTTAACAGTCAGCCTTCAAGGGACATCCAATATGCTGTCCAATCCTTAGAACATGCTAGAGCATATACAACCATGCATCTTATATGTATTTTTTAAATGATTTTAGATAGATTAAGCCAATGCAAATACACTAAAAAAACCCCTCAATCACACTTTCATTTTGCTGTGCAACCAGAGAACTGGCATTTTTGGTGAACAGTGCAAGACCTCTGTACTTTAGCACCTACTGCATGTAATTCCTATGTCACTGATTTACACTTCACTGTAAAGCTGAAATAATATGGGTAAAAAAGAGTTTTGGCTTTCAGTTAATCTAAAACAGTCAGTTCTTCAGTAGTGTGTGCAACTCCCTCTCTTCCAGAGGAAAGTCCCTGCCAGTGCCAACAAAACCTAGATTCTTACCATCATTGTTCACATCTATCTTCTGAAATACCATGTTTGTGAACTCTTCAGCACTCATGTTGGTGTAGCCATTTATAGCCTGGATAGCCTGAGGGCAGAAACACAGACAATTCTTTCAGAGTTTTTTCCATCAAGTTGCAAAAACGATACACTGGCAGCACCAGTAATTGCAACGCAACTCTTTAGTTCCCAGACCCTTTCAAAAATCGCTAAATAAATAGCTATTTCAAGTAAATCTTCAGTAATGAGGACTGCAATTTAATTAACATAACACAGCCTGAAGATTGCAGACTAATTTACATATCTCTGAAAGTCTGAAGAACCACGTGGCACCTCTGCTCTGTAATACACTTTAGATTCCACACCAGCATTTTTAACTGGCCCTAGAGAGTTCTGTGTCTTCAGAGTGCCCTATGGTCTATGTGATTTAAATACAGTACTGTTTTTCACAGCTGAAAGCACATGCAGAGAAAACCTAAGTTATTTTTCTATTAAGACATGTTTAACTTAGTAATCACAAACAAAGTCAGACCAGCAGTCCTGGAAGTTGGCAGAATGTACTTGACCTCCAAAGAAGTTAAGAAAACCAAAAGTATCCCCTCTAGTTTGTTTTTTGGTTGCTGTTGGTTTTTTGTTTGTTTGTTTTCTTTTGTGGTTTTTTTTCTTTTGTTTGTTTTTCTGTAGGAAAAGGACTCAGTATTTGGAGTAAAGGTATAAGTGAATGTTTTTGAAAAATTGTATCCCATTCACTGAGATGGTAATTTTTACACTGTGGTGATCATTCGGGTTAATAAAATAGGAGCCTCCACGTTAACATCCAGTGGTTCAGATGCAACAAGGATGTGTTTACAGAGTTAGATTCAAACTCAATATCCCAATTAGTAATTGACTGGGAAAATATGTGCATATATAAACATGCATATATGTTCTATAATGGGCATACTGTAGAATTTGTTTTTCTACACTTGAATTATCTTGAGGTGAACTGTGTTGTGTAAGAAAATTCACTATATGCGCCAGTTGTTTCTTTTGGTATTTCTGATATTATATTAGAAATCATTGTATTTAAATAAAATGTAAGTTAAACTTATTCAGCACTGATGTGAAATTCTTGACTGTCACTGTCTTTATTTTACTTTACAGCTTTTTTAAAAGCAGTAACCTTAATACATCAAATGAGACCATAAAAATGCCAACCCCTAAAGTGCCCAAAATTCCTGTCATTTCAAAAGGAAACGAGAATTTTTGCAAAAATGGGTACATAAACTTATTTGTATTACTAATTCATACTTTAGATACTTTTGGTGTTTTATATGTCTGACTCTGCTACAGTCTTCAGAATAAAGTTGTACTTCTGCCACAGTTAAATTTATTGTAGTGCTAAGAGTAAAGCAGTGGTTCCTGAAGTATCTGAGTCACTGTCTACCACTGTCACCTAAAATAGTAAAACAAAATAACTGGGCATTGAAAGGGTGCATGGTTATCTGGAAGGAGTTTTGATAATGATTTGTTGGTTCAAAGTTTGCATAGCTGTGGAGACAGTTTTAATAGGAGTTCTGTGATTCTAAATTAATGTCTCAGATATGACATATCTTTTTGGACAAGGCCTTTTTTACTGACATTTATCGTAATTCCAGGAAAAGTACTTTCCTTGTTTATGTTGTTACTTTGATCTGTAATGAGTCCTGTACATTTAGGGAGCAGTATTAAGCCATACATATTTGCAAGGAACCCTAACATACCTTTTGGATGAAAGCAGCTACTGCAGTTCAAAATATTATTTCACTAGAGCAAGTGAAAAATACAGAAATAATTTTAAAGAAAGAGTTGCACTGCTTTGCTTTTGTGTGTTTGAAGTGGACCCATTTTCTGCAACATTTTGACAATATTTTTATCCCACTGTCACTATGTGATTTAATAGTAAAATAATATTTCCCTGATTAAGTTTTAAAATAGGGGTAATGGCAGTTGTAGTACACAAATCTAAAGGCCTTTCAAACAATTAAAATATTGCAATATTTTGTTGACATTTTTCTTGCAGCGAACTCACTTTGAGAAGTCAGTTTTCCACAATGGACTGGCACATACACTTGTAACCATCTGTTTTATTCATTATGCTGCTACAGTTCTACCCTGCCTTATAGTATAGTTTATCACAGTAATGCCTCTAGTGTTTCTACAGTTTTTCACTTTAAGTATTTTATCTGTAGAACTATTGCTTAGAGTAAAATACTATTTAGATATGCTCAATAGGGAAGAAACTAATGGCAGGAGTGTCACTAGCCACTGTAAATTCTGGTTTTAGAACTGTAAAACATTAGGTAAAGTACAGACAATCCATTTACAGGACATGAGGAACCACTGTTTCAGGGGCAATGCACTATGTCAAATGTTCTTGCTATTGGTCATAACTTGCTTACCGAGAATATGCTTAGTAGTTCTTTTTTGTCAATACATCCGTTTCCATCAGCATCGTATAGCTTGAAATACCATTTCAATTTTTGGTCAATTTTCCCTCGTATAACCAAATTTATTGCAGCTATGAACTCCAAGAAGTCTATAAATCCATCCTAAGAGAGAGAGAGAGAGAAAAAAAAAACCAAACACCTATTTAATAATGCTGGTTTTCAGTTCATTCTGGCAATTGCACAGAAACAGGTCATCAAATTCACTACAATACACATCGATTTACAAAGCACCTTAAGATAGAAATCTCCTGTGGTATTAAAAAAGGATACACTCAAGTGGAAGATCTATAGGAAGAGGTGTTAGCAAAGACAGTTTTGTTCTCCCCTAAAAGCTGGGGGCAGTGTAGGCAAGGGGTAAATCTGTTCTGAGCAATTGTTATTGACAGGTTTTGAGAAGAAAAGAAAAAAAACGGTTTTGTGGGAAACTGCAACATGGGAAAAAGAGGAGTCTGGGATACCTGGTTTGGTACTAATGAAGTATCTACAGCAGAGTTGTTTACATCCATACTGCAGAACTACGTATGCTTTCCAGCACAACAGAGCTGTCCCAGGTGTTTTTCATCTGAGAGATCATGTAATAATAATAATCTGGCATGAACCCCAGGTACTGTGGTTTATCCATATAAACATCAGGTCTCTCAGATGAATACATTTTGCATGGGATATAAAGCCTTCAAATCATAAACTAGGCTCTAAATATTGAGGATTGGGGATATTCATAGGTAAAGAGCATTTCAGGTTGATTTAATTCTGACTCCTTCTCTGAAGCTGTCAAGGACAGGCCTCTATAATCAGGTTCTTCTGTTTCTGTAAAAATGTGGTTAGGATGGAAGAAACAGTTGCTGAATTTGGATAGTACTTGCTCCAACTGTTTTCCATGTGCATATAAAGGAATTAACAGCTGGCAAATTTAGTCTTGTGATCTTTATGTTGGTCAGAATCCAATTGCTTGGAAAACCTTGGAAAGACAGTAATCAGTTTCAGAGGGCCTCTGACTGAAAAGAGAAGGTTGGATGAGTGTCTAGTAGGTTTAGCATGTTGCTTATTTTTATTGTCATATATCAACACACATCTTGCCAGTTGAGGTTTTGCAATCACCAGGCATTAATGTATCCTCAGTCTGAAGGCAGAGAAGTCCTGTAAGGTTGCAGTGTGACTTACTGCCATAATGAGAATCCTAGACTCACTGAGGTTGGAAAAGACCCTTAAGATCATCAGGTCCAACAGTTAACTCAGCACTTCCAAATCCATCACTAAGCTGTGTCCCTAAATGCCACATCTGACATGTCTTTTGAAGATCTCCAGGCACTATCAGTATATTCTGGTGACAAGGAACGAACGAAACACAAAAGCATGCAAAAAATGTCAACAAGCAGGAATTTACAAGGACTGAAAGATACTGAGACTGAGAGCTCTGCTGTCTACCTTCAGTTGAGAACAAACCAAAACAAATATAAACCTGTCCCCACACATCTATCTGCCTAGTGAATGTGAGTTCTCAAAGGCTGAATAAATTTTTTAAATATGGGTACATCCTCTTTTTTCTCTTCTTCATTCTCTTTTTAGATTCCTCAGAGTTGTGACCACATGATGCTGATCTGCGTCAGAGCTCCGAGCAGCACCTTGTAGTACTTGTTTTGATTTCTGTGCAAGGCTGTTGGCAGAGTGGCACCTCAGAGATAAATCTAATGTATTCAAACACACTGGATTCAGTGTACATGCAGAAATGCTGTGTGCATAACTTGTGCAGACTGACTGTTGCTTCACAGACTCTCTGCAGGTTCTGTTGTGGTTGCTGGTTTTACGCTAATAGCAATCACAGCAAACACAGCAAAGGCAAAGACACCATTCAACCACTGTTTGGGATTAAATGAAATTTGACAGTAACTGCATGTAATTTTCAAACAAAATTAGGCCTAGTATTAAAAGCAGATGCTTTACCAAACATGACATATCATGCACCACAAACTTTATGCTTCTTTTTGGCAGACCGGTTTGAATTTCAATTTTTGCAAGTATTATTTCAAGAAGGATCTCATAAAGTATTTTGCTGGAGGACAAAATGTAATTTGCTGATTACATTTCCATCATCTGATTTGATGTATCTATTAAGAATATGGTTAGATGCATTTCACATTGCTGCTTTTTTATTGCATTTCATACTGCTTATTGAAACTACAGATTAATTTTAGGATTGCTGAATGTCTGAGACTAGATTAATTTTGTTCTTTCTCCCTTACATTTCACCTGGGTTTTTTGAAAATATTATTTTGTTTGCCTTCTTTCTACATCTTGGTGTCACTACTGTTGTCTGTCAAAACATCAGAAATTTGGACAATGTAAGAATCGGCTTAATGTGTTTGGGCATGTAATTCTGATCTGGTGGATCATATGGCCTGTCCCAAACAAGAAGGGACTGAAGGGCAAGGCCAAAAAACTCTCACCTCTGAAAAACACCTGAGAGAAATGGTAGTTGCCAAAAAAGCCCCAGTCACATTTTGTAGTTGTGCAAAGACCACCGGCAACATGTTAAGCAGCAGTCAGTCCACCAGGAATAGAAATACTGAGAAGGTAGGAATGATTGTCTACATGATGTGGAACCAGAAGCATTGCATAAAAACATTGATGAGAAATGTACTGGTTTTCCTTTCTACACTAAAAAACATACACTGTAGGTAGAAAAGGAAACATTTATGTGATGCAAAAGAATAGCGATCTTCTTGCACATATACAGAGTTTTCTCAGATAAATACTGTACTTTTTACAGTAACATCTCAAAATAGCTTATTAAATAATGAAAAAATCATAACAGTAACCTATGAAGATCATCCTGTGGTTCTGTGAGTACAACAAATAATGCAATAAATGTGTTATGATGTTATTAAAAGAATACTGCTGTGCTGATTTACCTATCTGCTGCTCTATAATCATTCAAAATACAAGTATCCAGGTAGGTCCTTATGTATCTCTGGGCTCTGTAAAACATCACTATGTGCAGCATGCACAGTAAAGTATCTCATTAGTAAAGACCTCATTAGGAGGTCATTAATTCACAAGGAAAGGGCTACTGTAAAAATAATAAAACAAATAGTAAGCATGTGTTTGTGCTCTTTGATACTGCGCTTTTGTAACTTGTTTTGCTTTCGCTGATGAGTGATTTTTTTAAGCCACTTGGAACAGTTTGATTCACACAACAAAGACAAAGGGAGGCTCCAAAAATGACAGGAAAGTTTACTGATGATGTGAAATTGGTCCTCAGGACTCTGAGGGCACCACTGGCTCTGACTGCTGCTGCCTGGGGTCCAGGGCCTATTTCAGTTTTTCATTAGTTACTGGATCTCCTGAGGAGAAAGAAATTTAATTTTATCATTTTATGAGAGGTTTTTGCTTTGGAATGTCAGTCTACATGCTGTTGCTGGCGGCTGTTCACCATTATTGGGTGAGGACAGAGTGGTGTGTCCTCTGAGGACAAAGCCAGACCATGAGACATCGTCGTGTTACATGATGGCCATTAATACCCCAGCCCTGGATCTGTAGGAGGGCATTACCCTTCCATTCCCAGAATAGCATTGCTAATCTTCACAGATCCTTAAAAAACTCTTATGACTATGACTATGAACTATAGAGATTAGAAATAATTGACTTGTCAGCTATGAATACGTAGCTGATATGAAACAGCATGGTTATGAAAGCTTGCGCCAGAGTGATCCGAACTTGGTGTTTTGGCTGCCTAGCTCTTACCTGACTGACTTCCTGACAGTGACAATGCTACAGGGATAGTCAGCCCTGTCCCGCCACACATGGTGGCTACACATGTGGAAAGGGACAGTTTCTGTCCCTGCAAAACCCTCTGGTGAGTGACCTCATCGTCTTACTTGGAGGACTCCAACAAGAGTCTATACAAAATAAGCAGTGCCTTTTTTCCAAAATTTGTTCCTGAAAAATCTCTAAACTCAACCTGAGACCAGGAGAATAGCTCAAATGGTTTATCGGGATTAATAAGTGCACAGATATAGATGATCCAGGTATTTCAAACCTAGGGCTTAGGTCATTAAGCTACCTTCCTTTCCCACCCCCTGTCTTTCAGAATACTACTTAAACCTCTTAAGACAGAGGGAGGAGGCATAGATCAACAGCTCAGAATAACTGTGAAATTTATAGCTAATCCTATGTGCTTCTCTTTTTCTCTCTGCACCCGATTTCAAATATAACACTGCTTTCTCTGCCCTCAGAAATCTAAAGGAGGATTCATTTCACTCCACTATCTTCCCTCATTTCATAGAATCATTTTGGTTGGAAAAGGCCTCCCAGATCATTGAGTCCAACCATCCTTGCTTTGTTTTTCCTTCTTAATACTTTCAGCTGTTCCTCAAAGTTTGCATACACATTATTGAAGAAATACAGAGCTACTTGTACCTCTGTTACTTTGACACATCCCTAGGGTCTGATATTGGAGTCTGGGGCTTAGACAGAGCTCCAGATATCCTACAGGCTATGGCCAGAATCACCAGTTTTGTAAGTAAACAAAGCTGGCATTTGTCATGGGGCGGGAGAGACCTCAGCAAGCAAAGACTATTAGAGAGGGATGAAGAACAAAGCAGGGAATTGGGAGCTGCAGACTTGTTAAGCGGTTTTGTAATCATTGCACATCAACAGTTACGTAAAGAGATGAGGTTGTATTGCCCAGACTGTTACACAAGGTTCTGCTTTGCCCAGATGAAGAGAACCTGCAAGGTCTGGCGACCTGGAAATTACCTGGACCTTTGTGTCAGAGGAGTTGGAAATGCAGAGCCAGCTACGTGTCCTGGCTTGTACACTCCCCTGGTAAAACCTGGTGAAATCCTAAACGTTAAGATGACAGTTTTCTTTCTTTAAAATTAACCACTACCCCTCAACTCCCTGCCATCAAGCAGAATTTTCTTTCCAGATTACTGGAGAAGCAGAGAGACAGGGAAGTCACCAAGGCATTGGGCTGTGGCCTCTGCTCCGCCTGCATCATGGCACAGTAGTGCCCGAGAAGGCTGTACTGGAAAGACCTAGCCCTTTCCCATTCTCTCCTGGATGGTGGTGTTCAGCTTTCTAATTTTGAGCTTCTCCCTGTG